TAGGTACCACCTTGTGTGGGGAGGCTAAATTAACTAATTTATGAGGCCATAAAAAAGACTCCAGCAAAGCACTCCAGCAAAAGCATGCGGGGAATGTGGAAGTACTTCATCAGTGTCGCAGATGAACGATGAAAGCGACACCTTCGATGAGAGAAGCCCCAGATGGCGGCCAGAAAAAGTTAAATAGCCTCTGTGTATGTCTGTATACGTTGTATGTCAAATCGGCATTGAATGTTTGCCATATATGTGTACACCGTGATCTGCCCTGAGTCCCCTGCGGGGTGAGAAGGGCGGAATATAAATACTGTAAATAAATAAAATAAGAGCACAGAGCATGGAAAGTACAGCTATTCTCTTGGAACATCTTGCTCTTCTTACTCAAGCAATGGGTTGATGATTACTTTGGGAACCCTCCTCCCAAGAGAGGGACAATGTGACTATGCTCATAACCCCGCCGTGCCCACAAATCGATCATTCAGCTAGTGAAGCAGAATGAGAAATCTGCAATTAAACTAGCTCTTGAATCATACAGGGGAAGGAAGTCATTAGTAGATCATTTTCAGCGTGAAAAAAAACCTGTTTTCCAAATGACTGTGTAGTACAACATCACTGAGAGAAGCTTGGTATCATTTGATTAGGCTGAGATTAATGTGGAACTAAACCATTGATATTACAAAATAACTATGTGGTGTGATAATGATCTTAGGCTTAAGAAAGTGGGTTCTTTGACTACAAAATTAGAGCAAAAAGAACAAGGAAGAGTACATCTAGTGCAAGGAAAAATGAGTGATATAAGATTCAAACCCCAATTTGCTTCAGTGTTCTTCCACAAAAGAAACTGCGCTTGACCAGAGAAAAATAAATAATGTTATAACTGAAAGAGGATTCAGCCATAGTAGGTAGATACAGAGGTCACACTAGAGGAGAAAATGTTCAGTGTTTTGTGGCCCCAACATTGAGCTAAGAAGATCCTATTTGGGGTTGAGATCCACGGTTTAAGAGGCAGTGGTCTATTGAGACTATGAGTTTCCATTCTGGCCATAGCAGAAAACCAAATGCAAGTATGTGTGAATGGATTTTTAGTAACAATTTTAAGAAAATGCTTGTAGCTCAGAGAAGGACATTTACCTTTTCAAAGTTCAGTTAGTGAGAAGAGACAAAGCCAATAAATGATATCTAACTAACTCCCCCATAAATCCAGCATGAATTAGGACCTGGAATACTGTGGTATATAGCATCATATTTATTGCTATCCACGTGAGAGACCTATACAACATCTTGTGGTCTTCCTGAACCCATCTACTGCTGTAGATAATATATTGCCTTTCATTGTATAAAAATACCAAGACTTGTGGTTACTGACTAATGGAGGAACGGAAAAAGAGAATAATTGCAATGAGGTAACTTGTATCACCACAGCCCCAACCTAGGAACTTGTGTGTGTGTGTGTGTGTGTATGTATATGTGTATTAAATTGAAAAATGAATGTATGCTTGGACTGCTTTAAAACAGCTTGTTCTCTGAATTGCATCATAAAGTTAAGAGAATTTCATGCTTACAAAATGCACATTATATATGTGTGACAGATTTGAGGGTTGGGATGGAATGAAAGTTATCCTTCCCTTATATAAGCTTTGCACAAACATTAAAATAAAGGTGCTGGTAGAAGGTAAAGTTGGATGTCCCATATCTGCAATGCTTTGGATCAGAAATGATCTTGGAGCCCCTCAGGGGAGATAGTGCAGGATACAAATAAAGTGTTGTTATTACTTTCAGATTTTGGAATACCCGTATTTGCATAAGCATCCATAATGATACGCAAGGCTAAACAAAACATTGATTCATGTTTTACATATACCTTATATGCTGGGAGGTGATGAGCTGGGCCTGATTGTTTCTTGTCTGGAATTCCCGTTTTTGAGTGTTGTTCTTTATTAACAATCCTTGTTTTCGCAACAAACTACATTTCACAAAATCCATTTATCACAGGGACAGAAAAGGAAGTGAAATCTTTTGAACAAGGGCACAGGCAGCAAAACAAATGCCACAGGGGTGTTAACCCTTCCCTTTACTATCCAAAGTTTTTTTGGGGGGTGGGGGGGTATTATATTTTTAAAATGTATCTGTTCCGACTTACAAACAAATTAAACCTAAGAACAAACCTTGTTCATAACTAGAACCTTGTTCATAACTTGGGACTCCCTGTACAAAAAAAATTAAGAGAATATGTTATTTTAATCTGACTTAATTGATCAAAAGATAAAATGGTTAAAAGATCTGGCCCACAGTATAAACAAAATGATAGGGATTTTTTTCCTGATTAGTATCCTGGGTTTTCCATTTTTGATGGTTGAGACAATTGATGATTGTGATATTTATATTCATAATAATGGGGAATCTGTTTATTACTATAAACAGTGTTTATCTCTGTGTACTGATGCTTTCAAGAATTTAGTGCTAAAATGAGGTAGTTGACAGATAAAGTTTATTAAATCAGGATATGAAGAAGACAAGACATTGAAAATGTCAGATTTTAGAGAATACAAGGAAGCCATACTCTGGGTTTCATAGTTTTCAAGTGGCATGGGATGACCGATATGGAAACAAAATTTAGGTATTAGGTCAAAGTCTTTAGAGTTAGTGTCTAGCAGTGGAATGATTTAGTAGTGAGTGCAAAGCTATTGTGTGCTATGTCAATTTCTCTCACTGATCATAAACAAACAGTAACCAGTCAACTAATGAGTAGGCAGGTGTCAAAGAAAACTAGTAGATAGTCATGAGCAGTTAGTTAGAAAGGTTTTTAAACATTTTCAAATAGGTAGATGTCAGTGCATACTTTCCAGATGATTGCTAAGCACCTCTTTCTACACAGACTGTGAATAAAGGCTTTATTTTTCATCAACACTATGTGCTAATGGGCTACAGCATTCCAGGCACAAATCCATTGCCCTTCTGGGGGACAACAATTGTGTGCATAAAGAAAGGAAAGATGTTGCTATCTTAGCCCACCTGTGTGGAGAATTTCAGATTTTGGAGGATTTCGGATTTTGAAATTCTGGATAAGGGATGCTCAACCTGTACATGAACAGTGTTTGTTTTGAAAATATTCAGCTTTACATAATTTTATTATATTACTACATACTATTAAGAATATTATTGTTATTGCATTAGTCTGGATAATGGTGACACCAAATAACTATTTCTGCAGCTTTCCCCCCTTCTGAATTCAGAAGTAAGCTCTCATTGAAACATATATTTGTTGCGATGAACAGTGAGGGCCAAAGTTTTTGGGAGTACGATAAATATGCTCTTTCCACAGGGTCATTTAGGGATATCTGTGCTCTGAAGTGTGAGAGATAACTCGCCCTTCTTGAGTGCCAAATGCCAGTTCTTTTTTCCCATACAGCTGCAGCCACTGCTGAAGCTAATTCCAGTTCCCACAGCTCTCGGATCTGAGGTGGTGCATGTGAGTCAGACAGTCAGGGAGTCAGTCATCCCAAAGGAACTTGGATGGTGCCCAGGATCTGGGGGAAATCCAAAGAAGCAACCCAGTTAGGAAAATAATAGTGTCCTGTTTTATAGCAAGCAAGGAGGTGGAAGGTGAACTTTTTGAGGAACAGTCTAATGGCTGTGGCAAAAAGGACTACAAAAAGAAGATGCTGTAGTCAGTTCAGTACCTAGTGGTGAAGCCTCTTATCCAATAATAGTTACAACTAAATTTCCACCACTTGTGTTTTTGTATGTGCTTGTACTTTTTTCAGATCTAGTTACAGAGACCGTGTTAGATGCCTTCCATCCAGTGTTTTTGTAAGGACCTGTCCTCATCTTACCAATCGGTTTTCTAGAGGCAGTTGGCTTTTCTATTTGGAACCACCTAATTAGGACAATTTTGTTACATCATCACTAAGCAGTTGTGACATTTACACAAATTAAGCTGGTTTGATTAAAAGAATTGGGATTTTCTAAAATTGAGGATTGTAAACAGGCCTTTACTTGTCTGCTATTTGTGTCATTTGTTCACTGTGTAAAAGCATTGAATGTTTGCTTATATGTGTATACAGTGTTCCCTCGATGCTTCGCAGTTCGCTTACTGCGGACTCACTGTTTCATGGTTTTCTCTGAGCGGCCCCTGAGGTTTTCCCTGCATGGCCCCCAAGGCGAGCCTGTCACCCCCACATCCATCCTCCTCCCCCTTGACTCCTCTTTCTTGCCTCTCTTCCCTCCCTCTTTGCCTTCCTTCCGCCGCCATGGTGTCAGAGGGGGCTTCTTCTTTCCAGCAGTCCCCTTGGCGGTAGGAGAAGTTCCAGTGGGGTGGCCAGCCAATGGGAGGAGGACCCTGCTCTCCTTCGATTGTCTGGGCTGACCACCCTCAGGAGCTCCAGACTGCAGAAGGCCATGCCAGGCAGCATGCCTTCCCTGTGTCCAGCACTGGTTTCTCTGGCGGCAGCTGGAAGCAAGTTTGATTGGGCCTTTGGCCCAATTTTTGGCTGTATACATTTTTTTGGCTATATAAATGTTACAATTAATATAGCGTCCCTACTTCGCAGATTTTCACTTATTGTGGAAGGCCTTGGAACAGAACACCTGTGAAAAATAAGGGAACACTGTACTGTAATTTGCTCTGAGTCCCTTCGGGGAGATAAAGCGGATTATAAATAGTGTATTATTATTAGATTCCCCAGTTGGGGAGAAAATAGTGGATTTCCATCAAACTGACCCTGGAAAATTTCAGTATGAAACAATCCCAAGTAGATGTGTATCTCCCTCAAAACACTACTTTCAATGGATGAGAAAAATGAATGAAATGTCTCTTCTCTGTATTTTGTGGAAGCCAAATGTACTTTGTAAAATATCAGTCTTTTTCATGGCATGTGGCAAGTGTGTTCAAGTTGACTGGCTGCTAAGATGTGATAGAGTAAAGTAAAATCAAGACCTTTCATTGAAACAGACAACACGAATGCAGATATGTATTTCTTTACCCAGCTCTTTTTATAATTTAGGGTCGTGCTTCACTTACACCAGAGAAGCAGCGTTTTGCCCATCAGCACAAGGAGATGAAAAGTCTAGAGGACATTGTAAATAAAATAAGGCCGACGGCTCTTATAGGTAATGTATACATTTGATCAAAACTGTCTTATCTGTAGAGTCATCTAACAATTGCTGTTTTATGTTATCGATGGATATGTGGACATATGTGAACCAAAGATTTTGAATATCTGTAAATACAGAGATGCTTAATTTGTGACCAACAAAACACTCAGAAATCTTATATCAGCCAGAAGAAGAGAAGGTTGAGAGGGGACATGATAGCCATGTTTTTTTTTTCCATGTCGGGAGCGACTTGAGAAACATCGCACAGGGGACACCCAGATGTTTTACCATCCTGTGGGAGGCTTCTCTCATGTCCCCACATGGGAAGCTGGAGCTCCCCGGATTTGAACCGCTGACCTTTCAGTCAGCAGTCCTGCCGGCACAAGGGTTTAACTCATTGCTCCACCAAGGGCTCTGTAGCCATGTTAACATATCTGAAGTATTTCAGTCATAGTGGGGAGGGAGTGTTTGTTTTCTGATGCTCCAGATAGTAGGATTCAAGGGAAGGAAAAGGGATTCAACTTAAACATTAGGAAAAACTTCCTGACAGTAAGAATTTTTCGACAATGAAATATACTGCCCTGGAGTGTGGTAGGTTCTCCTTTTTGGGAGGATTTTAAAAGCAGGGGCTCAATGTCAATCTTCAGGGAGTTCTTTGATTGTGTTTTTTTTTTTTTTGGTTTTGGAAAAACACCTTTTTGAGATCATAACTTTTTAGAAAAGCATGACCTTTCAGAGAAGATCCAAAAACCCTTTAGAGTAGAACCGACCAAATATACTTATGCAAGGCAATGGTTTCAGTTGTTAGACTGAAAAAACTGTTATTTCTGATCTGTTAGGAAAACAGATATGTGCCAGTGCATAAGAACAGCAGAGCTTCAAAAGTGTTTTTCAGTGCCCAAAATATATATACTCTCCCATAAAACAACTTGTTTTTTTATCATGCACTCAAGAAACAAAAATAAAGTAGACCTTGCCCAAAAAAAATTACATATTTGGTTTACTTCACAACCTTCATGTGTTCAGCATACACAGGTACAAAACTTATCAGTCCAGTTTCAGATATGTTTGAGATATTTCTCTGTGCCATTCAGCCAGGGCATCTCTCTTATAACAAAACAACTATCAGCAGGTCACATAGTCGAAAGGACTGAGAGAAGAGAGCACGTGATCTGCAGCCCCTTTTGTAACTTCTCAGGAACCAAAGAGGAAAGGAAGCTGCATACCAGAACATACATACAAGAAACAGTAAGCACCAGGATCATAGACAAATAGATTGCTAGAGTAGGCTTGATGAAGGTTGTCACTTCCAACATTTGTGGGAAGGGATTGGACTTATCTCTATCAGCTTGTGATATCTATCAGCTGTATGGTTATATGGATTGCTGCAAACCAACAAGTACTGGTTTTGTTTTACTTTACATTTGTGCTGTAAGAAAAGTATTTTTGGGGGATGTGGATGTGTTTTAATTGTTTATCCCATTCTGTGTAATTTTCTGTATTGCACTTTGGGTATTGTATTATGTTGTAAGCCGCCATGAGTCTCCTGGGGAGAGGGGGGAGGATATAAATAAACATAATAAAAATAATGATAATGTCTATTATTATTATTTATTATTTATTTACTGCATTTGTATACCACCTTTCTCAGCCAGTGGTGACTAAGTGGTAACCATGCCAATTAAACTCATTTCAATCCCAAGTTGTAACACAACAAAATATAGACGTGTCCAAACGAGTGAATGCTTCTCTGGGGCATTTTTGCAATGCACGCAGCTTAGGGGAGATGTCCTATGTAAACAAGAAAGCCTGATCAAATTTGATAAGATGATGTGTTTGTGTGCAAGTGTTTGTGTGTGGGGGGGGGGGGGGGGGGGGGGAGAGAAAGAGAGAGATAATTTTACATGGTTTAGACCCTTTCTATGCAAAGCTGGGATCACTAAATTGCCTGATATTTTCTCAAGATTTTCATTAAACTTGATTCTCAACAAATGCCATATATGGAGTCTTGCGAGACAGTGCTCAGGAAGAGGATTTGCTATTGTTGGACCAAGAACAGAAACAATTATTTTAATACAACAATAAAAGTAGCTGTAAAGCATAAGTGAAATTATATTTTCCAATTTATTTTACCATCTGGCTGGAAATGTTTGTCATTCTTCCCATTAATTGTCTTGAAGAAAACCTCACATAAAGCCCAGACCAAGAGGCACTACGTTTTATTTGGATCATTTTGCCCTTAAAAATTTTGAGAACCAACCTTTGAGCTGCATGTCCTTTGAGAGATCTTAGGACGTCAGAGCAAAAAAACCCAAAACATCCCCTTCCAACTCCCCCTCCCCCAAAAATAAAATAATAACGGAAGATTACATTCTTAAGCTGGTAGGAATTTGACTGGGTCTAGTGCTATTTTTGCACATCTGCTTAGAATACAAAATACACATTAATTAAATTTGTGCTAACATTGTGGCTGTTTAAGATTCCTAAATGTCTCAGTCTGTATATAGTCCACTGGAGGTATCAACTCCATTAAATGAAGAATTGTACAGTGATGGAAGTTTCTCACTGCAGTTTATACAGGACACTCCGGTAGATTATGCCATTTGTCTTTGATTGGTTTAACATTGGTTGATTGGTTTCCTTTTTTTAGTAGACAATGGAAGCCAAATTCAGGTTGTTATGCAAATGTATCAAACAATTTGAAAAAATTGAGAAAGACCTTCATTAATTCTAAGTGTATTGAAATGCGTTTTGTAAATACATAGATAATCAGAATTAATGTTTGGATGACAGTTTGATAACATTACTGCAAGTATTTGGCCACTGCAGATGTCAAGAAAACACTGGTGTAATATTTCTGCAAATCTTTGTAGCATCTCATTTTGTGGGTATTGGTATTTAAATTCTGAATATTTCATGCTGGCTAAGGCAAGCAAAGAACAAAAGGCTTCGTTTTGCATTGTATTAATCAAGCCAAGGTTAATATTCTTAATGGAAAAAAAATCCAAAACTACATACTTTTTTTGTAGTCGTATCCCAGTATACTTTCTTTGTGAAACAAGGAGCAGCAGGTGTAATTTTTAATACTGTACCTTGATTGCTTCCATATTTTTCATTGGAATAATTTCATTATTGTGCCACATTATATAAAAGCATCATAGCAAAAGCAACAAGAGTAGGTTAAAGAATTTGATTCATGCCATTTCTAGAAATCTGCCCTTTATTAAGAGAGGCATGATATTTGTTCAAGTGTGACAGGCAGTTGCTGTCATTTTATGGTAGTATTGTGTTTTTTCAACAAGTTAATATCTTCATCTTCATTCCATGCCATTGGCTAACATGAACAGGAAGCCATAATGTGTCAAGTATGAACTTTTAAGGCAGCATCTCAGTGACTTTTGTAAACATCTTCAATTATTTTCAACACATCAGACACCATTATTCTCTCAACTATTTATTTTAAGCGTGAACCAGTAAAAAGGAGAATACTATAAGAAAATCAGTAAAAGCCATCTGATACTGTTTTGTTGCACTTACTGAAAGCTTTTAGGGGCATGTTTCAAAATTTATTTATTTAATTTTTTTTCTGTCTTGCTCAGGTGTTGCTGCCATAGGTGGTGCTTTTACAAAAAAGATTATCATGGACATGGCGTCCTTCAACAAACGGCCAATTATTTTTGCCCTTAGTAACCCCACTAGCAAAGCAGAATGCTCTGCTGAGGATTGCTACCATCTTACAGAGGTAAGGAAAGAAAGTTTGTTTTCTACTGCACTAGATATACTATATATACTTGAGTATAAGCCGACCTGAATATAAGCCAAGGCACCTAATTTTACCACAAAAAAATTGGGAAAATGTATTGACTCAAGAATAAGCCAAGGATGGGAATTGCAGCAGCTACTGGTGAATTTCAAAATAAAAATAAATACCAATACAATTATATTAATTGAGGCATCAGTAGGTTAAATGTTCTTGAATATTTACATAAAACTGTAATTTAAGAAAAGACTGCCCAACTCTGATTAAACTATTATTCTAACCTTCAATGTAAATGTGCTTATGTATCCTTCCAATAATAATAAAGAGAGTAAAATAATACATGTAATAATGATGATGATGATAAATAGAGTTAAAGAATAAATTTAATAACAATAATAAAGTAAAGAAAGGTAATAATAATAATTAATAGATTGAAAGGATAAATATAATAATAATCAATTGAGTAAAAGAATAAATGTAATAATAATAGAGTAAAATAATGTAAATGTAATAATAATAAATTGAGTAAAATAATAAATGTAATAATAATAATAATAATAATAGAGTAAAATAATAAATGTAATAATAATAATAATAATAATAATAATAATAATAGAGTAAAATAATAAAAAACTTTGACTCGAGTATAAACTGAGGGGGACTTTTTCAGCCTAAAAAAAGGACTGAAGAACTTGGCTTATACTGGAATATATACGATATATAAATACTCATGCTCTGCAGATAAGTTAAAAAAACAACAACCAAGAATATTTATCAAATGTCATTAACTGGGTTTGTGGGCATAACTTTCAGAAAGTCATATTACTTGGCATCATCCAAAGTTTTCAACTAAAAAACTGCTGTGTAAGTGGTGAGACTTCAAATTGCATTTATCACAAATCAGTTCATGAGAAAAATGAGATTTGAACTGGAGTCTCTTCAGTGTAATGTTTCTGAATTAATAGAGCCACCTCTCTAACCTCTGGGAAAGAATGCCAAAATATGTCAAGAGAAAGGATACCAAGAGTTTTTGACTGAAGGTTTTATCACAGTATTTTCGTGGCTCCATACATTGACTTTTATGTAGGTTTTGCAAACTATTATTCTCCATTTATAAACCTCCCCTCTTTTTCCACCCCTGCTACCATTATTTTTCTGAAAACCCCATTAAAGAGAAAAGATGGAAGAGATGTCAATAGCATACTTAAAATGACAACAGAAGGGGTGTCAAATGAAATAAATGAACTTTTGGGCTTCTTTCTGCACATATCAGCTCTGTAGAATCATATCAGTTAAGAGACCTCAGGGGACATTTCGCCCTCTGTTAGTAGAGGAATCCCCAGCTAAAGCATTCCTGAAGGTGGACATCCAGCCTTTTATTTAAAACCTCCAGAAAAGGAGTTCCTTTGCCCTGGAAAGCAATCTGCTCCACTAATGAACTAATTTCCCTCAGGATGTGTGGGAGAGACAGACTGAAGAAAGGCAGGGAAACAATCACAAGAGAATTTTAGGAGTGGGAAGGCAGAATGGTGCAAAAATGGATGCACAGTGTGAGCAAATGAGTACTTTGACCAATATGCTGGATATATGACAGGCAGATAAAGACTGATTTGAAGGACTTATCTCATTTTTGCATTTTTTTAAACCAGGAATAGGTTATTTGATATGGGGAGGATCAATACATTCACAATTATTGCATAGTGTCAAAACTGGGCAGTGTCATTGAGGTATTGGGGTATCATTGGAGGTTTACTTGTTTTTTAGCAGTTGAAAATGAGGTCCAAATGTAAACATAATTGCTGGATGCTATGTGAGTTGATAAATACAACCAGATAACTTTTTAACAATTGTAACCCAAGTTTGCAAAAATTTATTTTTTGTGGTATATAACACATATGCTCTTGACTGGTATGAAAACTGGGAGATAATTAATAATTGAACCATCTTTTGAACTGGTCCATCCATTTGAAGAGAGTGCTACGAATGACATTATGCATCCTTATGTGTATGAATCTGAATTGTTTGTGTCCACTTTGAGGTTAAACATTTTCCACCTTGAATTTCCACCTTGAATAACTTTATAAATCTAAAAATAGAACAAAAATTTAGCATATTCTATTTGCAGACATTTGGGTGCACAGCACGAATGAAACAGGAATGCAAATATTTTGAAAGCCCAGTTATAATGGGCAGCTCCATCTGGTGACCAGAATGATTTCCAGTGTCTCACTCTCTACCATACTAGGGATTTTGGGACTGAAGGAAAACTTTATGATGATACCAGAATTTGTATTGAAAGGTTCAGTGCCCTCATTGTGACTCCCCTTTCCTCCCATAGTTCTACCCCAATTCAGTCACAGAAGATTCAGTGAGAACTATTATTTGCATTAGAGATTGCAATCTAGGTTAGCCTGGCATCTTTTAATAGCTTATAGAAAAGGAAATTTCAGTTGTGTGTAGCTTCCATAATGAAGCATACCTCTGAAATTCTCTGTGCTATACAAAAATTAAAAATTCAGAACTTCAAGCCCCCTTCCACACAGCTGAATAAAATGTCACATTATCTGATTTGAACTGGAATATATGGCAGTGTGGACTCAGATAACCCAGTTCAGAGCAGAGATTGTGGGATTTTCTGCCTTGATATTCTGTATATGCCTGTGTGGAAGGGCCCTCAGTCTCCTAAAAGGGAAAGTAGCATGATAGAATCACATTAAATGGGAAATAATTCTAGTTTCTTATACACCCCAGAAATGTGGATACATGGACATTTTGCTACCTTACTGTACATAATTCTCACTCTTCATAGAAAAACATACATTATATATATATATATATATATATATATATATATATATATATATTATAATTACAGTGGAGTTTTCCGAACTCCGTCATGATACGCGTTGAATCTATAGAGATTCCATTCTTCTGACCAGGGCCCCCATCCCGCAGTCAACAAATTTTGAATGCGTCCACCTGAGGGTGGGTGACCGGGACAGATTAGGGATTCTGTTAGTGTACCGTCCACCTCGCTGCACTACAGACTCCCTGACTGAGCTAGCGGGGGTGGTCTCGGACCTGGCATTGGAGTCCCAACGGCTGCTTGTGCTGGGGGACTTCAATGTCCACGCCGAGACCGCCTTATCGGGAGCGGCTCAGGACTTCATGTCTACCATGGCAACCATGGGGCTGTCCCAACAGGTATCTGGCCCCACCCACAGTGCTGGACATACATTGGACTTGGTTTTCTGCCAGGGATGGGAGGAAGGTGGCGGTGTTGAGGAGTTATCCATCTCTCCGTTGCCATGGACCGACCACC